ATGTCAGCCAATCATTTGCCCGTTTGAGCCAAATTACCGTTATTCAACAATTTTTGCCCAGTATTGTATACTTATTTGTCATCAAGGTGTCACCTATTCTATATTTGATCCCGCCATTTAAAGATTAAGCGGTGCCATCGAGATGGAATTCTAGAAGGTAAATATTTTAACAGAACAAAGGTTAGCAATGACATAAGGTTATCTGAATATTTGTAAAATATAAATCGGAAAACCATTTGAAATTTTAATATCATTAATTTTATCATCATTATATTTGTAATTTATTTTTAACAGTTTTATATAAATATAACTTATGGGTATCAATACGTTTTCTTCTTTTATATAATTGCAAAATTATGTAATAACAAAAATAAATAATAAAATAAATAGTAAAATAAATAATGGTTAATTCTTTTGGTAAAATATTCGTGTTAACGATTTTTTTTTGGTTCATTGGGGCAATTTCAATTATCCATCCTAATAAAATCGAGAATAATCGTGTCGACATAAGGAATTTGCACAAAAGAGATTACAGAACAGTAGTCACAACATATATTACCTCAACATCTTATTTAGTGGGTGGGTACATTACTTCATGTGAGACTATTTATCCACCAGCACCTACTACCATCCCTCCAAAGATTCCAGAACCGGTAGTTACTAAAGCGCCAGCAGTTCCAGAACCGGTAGTTACTAAAGCGCCAGCAGCACCTGCTACTCCTAAGGCAGTCGCTACTCCAGATGCGCCTGCTATGCCTGGAATTGTCGCACGCCAAATACAAACAAAATGTAGTGTTGTTGGTGACTACCAAACCATTACATATTCAGTATTTACTACAGTAGAAACTTTGTTAATCTCAGTAACAGAATCACCAACGCTGAAATCTCAAACAATCGCAACTACGACTTCAGACACAATCGTAACTACGACCTCAAACACAATCGCAACTATAACATCAAACACCATCGTAGCTACAATCTCAAACACCATCGTAACTACAACCTCAAACACAATCGCAACTATAACCTCAAACACAATCACTAACACAATCTCAAACACAATTGCAACTACAACTTCAGATACAATCGTGCAACCGCAACCTCAAACACAACTGCAGCCACAATCTCAAACACAACCGCAGCCACAATCGCAAACGCAACCGCAGCCACAACCGCCAACACAACCGCAACCTCAATCACAATTACAGTCGTCAACATCACCATCAACAACTTCACCGAAATCATCAACATCATCAAGTAATACTAGGTAATTGTCCTTCTATTTTTTAATATGTTTCATGTGAAAAGTATGATACTGATTTATATTAATTTTTTTAAATATCAAGCATTAAAACTGGAAGTACAACTAGTGCTATAACACCATCATCGACTCCTAGTTCTGCATCAAGTTCTTTACAAGATAAATTAACCGGATTCAACTTTATAATTGAATTAATTAGTTTAGCCTTTATTATTAATCAAATTATTTAAAGTATTATAAATTGCATAATCATACCTCATTTATTATAGCTCATTGTAATTCATGAATTAAATAAATATTTATTTATTCTACTATCAATATCTATTTTAGCATTATATTCCAAAATCACAATAAACATTCAATTATTGACTGTTACAACATTATAAATTTTGCATCGTATTTTGCTACAAAAATAAGTCTGTCAATCTATTTTTCAATAAAATTTTTTTTACTATTATATTTACTATATTGTCTTAATTACTATATTTAAATAAAACACTCATAATTTTAATATAATTCCAAATAGAGATCAATAAACTTATTTAACATAGTTTTTAAAATAATAATTATAAAATTTAAAGAATAAATAAATTAAATGTTATAAAATTTTTACATAATAGTTTTATTGTAAGTAAGAATGCATACTAATAAGTTATTATTGCTACCACTATTTAGTGATAGGAATCGACTGAAATTTTTAGTTAACTAGTCAATCGATTAATTTTATGACTAGTCAACTAGTCGTATAATACGTATATAAAGTAAATAGAAATAAACTACAATTTATTAGTCAACCAATCAATTGCTAGTCAACTATTAGTCCACATGATTATTATAAACATTATTTCGAAATATTTTAAATATTTTAAATAAAATTGTTCTCAATTATACTTTGTAATTTATAATCAATCTCAGAACATTTCTAGTTGATTTTAGTCGACTAATAAAATTTAGTCAAAATAGTTGACTTAATCGACTAAAACTTATTCAACTCCTATCACTATTGTTATTTATGAGAGCAAGAGATTATAAAGAACAAGCTAACGATAGGTTAACTCTTAGGAAAATAAGTGATGATATAAGAATTAGGGGTCTGCAACCCGTGCTCTTGTCTGAGCTCAGCAAAAAGGCACAGGCATGGGTATAAGCAGGCATAGCATGAGCATGGGAACAGGAATGGATTCTCAGGCATGGGCATGAATTAGGCATAAAATTTGACATAGCTGAGCACGGGCATAAAAAAACTTGATATGAGCATGAGCACAAGCACAGAAATTTGGTTTAATTGTCTCTGACACCTAGTGCCTAGCATTTGTGCCCATGTCTTTGCTAGTTCCTGACATTTTGTGTCTATACATTTAACGGTACCTGGTACTTATACCCAGTGTTTAAAATTCAAATCGAAACTTACATGCACAAATGCAGTTGTGTCATAGGTTTTAATTGCACAAACCAACTACTAGTTGCACACACGTACATATAAATTTTATTTTTATATGCGCTTACTTATTTATTTTTCTCTAAGTGATCCAACGTTATAAAAATTTTTATACTCTTGGCACTGTGTATAAGGCCACGCAAAGTTAATTTTTCGTTTTGCATAACCCGCCGACCCAATTTTTCTAAAAAACTTTTTTTTTTTTTTTAAGTTCCAATTGCCCCAATTATTCCATTTTTGCTATTTAATTTTTTCCCGTAAAT